TCTTTGTGAATTACTGTCTAATTGGAGCTTTCCTTTTTATTTCTTTTCCTTTTCGATTGTCTTCCAAGTATTATTTTTTATTGTAAACAAACAAACAAAAAAAGAAACAATGTGAAATGTAATTTTTACAACAGCAATATGAAATATATTTTATAATAAAATGATATGGCTTGATAGCTCTGCCGTGTTTTTTTTCCTGGATTTCTTTCTCTTTCGCTCACTAAATGTGCATATCCAATGCCATGGAAGATAAGGACCTTGCAAAACTGCAACTCCCAGGATTCCATAGTCATGAGACATGGCACTTACAAGTGGTGTCAAACTGCATTATTTCTACAGTGCAGATGCACCCCTAGATCTCGCATCAAATATAATTGTGAGGTTTTGCAACCTGCCTCGAGCTCTTGGCGTAGCTTTGATTTAAAAGGAGGAAAACACTCAAATCATTTGGGAGAGGCCCAGCTGGGTGGAGCATCCCTCCAATGCATCTCTTAATGGAATTCCCCCACCGGTTTGCTTTTAACTGGGATGAATTATGACTTCGCAAGCATCCAAAGCCTGGCGGCTGCTCCACCCTTGGCCTGAAGACACTGCACACCGCGGTGGCTGAAAGCGTGGATTCCTAGAAAAGTAATTAAGAAAGAACTGGGTGGCAAATGCAACAGGTTGCCTGTTCTTGCAACAAAAATATAAATGATAGACTGCTTCGTTGCACCAATGGGGTTATATTTGCATTTATTGTTTGTATGCCAAAGGTGGCAATGCTACGCAGAATATTTCTTAATAAGCATATAAAGTAGCATGTAGTCCAGGTGTCTTGGAACAGCTGAGTGTTTACGTTCAATGCTTCTTTCCCTTGCTTCCATCCATCCTTCTTTCCTCCCTCTCTTCAATCCATTCTTTCCATCCTTCCTTTCTCCTTTCTTCCCTTCCTCCATCCCTCCCTTCCTTCCTTCCTTTTCCCTCCATCCATCTATTCTTCCTTTCTTCCATCTTTCCTTCCTCTCTCTTCTTTTCCTCCCTTTTCTTTCCTCCCTCACTTCCATCCATCCTTTTTTCTTTCCTCCCTCCCTTTTTTCTTCCCTCCCTTCCCTCCCCATCCATCCATCCATTCCTTCTTTCCTTCCTTCCTCCATCCCTCTTTCCTTCCTTTCCTCTGTCCCTTGCATTCCTTCCTTCCTTCTTTCTTTCTTTCCTTCCTCCATCACTCCCTCCCTTCTTTCCTTCCTTTTCTTTCCTCCCTCCCTCCCACCCATTCCTTCCTTCATTCCTTTCTTCCTCCATCCCTCTCTTTTTCCTTCCTTTTCTTTCCTCCCTCCCTCCATTCTATCCATCCATCAATTTCTTCCTTCCTTTCCTCCCTCCCTCCCTTTTCTCCCTCCCTCCCATCCATCCTTTTTTCTTTCCTTCTATTCTTTCCTTCTTTCTTCCCTCCCTCCCTTTCATGCATCCATCCATCTCTTCCTTCCCACTTTCCTTCTTTCCTCCCTTCCACCCATCCTTTCCTTCCTTCCTTCCTCTCTTCTTTCATTCCTTCCTCCCATCCTTTCTTTTCTTTCTTCCCTCCCATCCATTCTTTCCTTCTTTCCTTCCTTCCTTCCTTCCTCCATCTCTTCATTCTTTCCTTCCTTTTCTTTCCTCCCTCCCTCCCTTCCATCCATCCTTTTTTTCTCCCTCCCTCCATTTTATCCGTCCATTCCTTCCTTCTTTCCTCCCTTTTCTCCCTCCCTCCCATCCATCCTTTTCTCTCTCCCTTTTTCCTTCCATCCATTCTTTCCTTCTTTCTCCCTTCCCTCCCTCCCTTCCATCTCTCCCTTTCATCCATCCATCCATGCATTCCTTCCTTCTCTCCTTATTTCCTCCCTTCCTTTCTTCCTTCCTCTCTTCTTTCCTTCATTCCTTCCTCCCATCCTTTTCTTTCCTCCCCATCCATCCTTTTTCCCCTTCCATTCATTCTTTCCTCCCTCTCTTCCATTCTTTCCTTCCCATCTTCCTTCTTTCTTCCCTTCTTTCCTTTCTCCTTCCTTCCTTCCTTCCTTCCTTCCTTCCTTCCTTCCTTCCTTCCTTCCTTCCCTTCCTTCCTTCTTCTTTCTCTAAAACCACCCTTTTGGGCATCTTGAGATAGGTTTCCAGTTCCCTCCAGTTTCTGCTTCCTTTGTATTGGGACAGATCCACCTTTAAACCTGGCAGAAGATGGACTTACGTTATGATTACCTTCTGCATCTCCTGCACAACGATGAAGCTTCCCGGGAGAGGTGTAGTCACACACACACACACACCACGGTTAAATCCCCCCAAAACAGCTTTATTGACCTGTTTACTCTCATAACAATTCTTCCACAGCTTTACTATTATCTTTTACACACTCCCAACAATGTACGCCATGTAATTATTTATTTTATAACACTTACTTTCCATCTCGGATTTTGACCCAGAACGGCTGCTTATACGGTCCCGTCCACACTGAGCATTTAATGCAATTCAAAGGTGTTGTTATTGTTGTTGTCTTTGTTTATACCCTGGGGACTCAAGACAGCTAGATTCAATCAGACAAATTCCCAAAAAGAGAGTGAAAGAAAGCCCTTAATACACCTTAATCTTCTGTGGATTGTGTCATCATTATTTAGACCTTCTACGTAATCGTTTGCTCATACCAGTTGGAAACTGCATTAAATAGTTAGTGTAGATGGAGCCTACGTGGCACATACAATAAAGATTCATACCATTCACTTAAAACATGCAATTTGGAGTAATAGATGAACCATTCAGCTTTAGCGAAGAGGGGCCTCAGAAAGGGGACAACACTGAAAAGTCTCCGTGACACCTCCCTTTGCTTCGGTAGCTTAATCTCAGGCCAAATTGGATCATGGCACTCACCATGAGTCCCACGACAATGACTACACGCATTGGATGAAATCCTCGCCATGCCGTGCCAAATGTCCAGCCAGACCAGCATCGCATCGGCACATGGTCTTCTATCTTTGAGTGACCACCATCACTTGTTCACTGACCAAGGAATTCCCTGCAAGAGCCTGGTTGTTGCATCACAAAATTGTAGAACTGGAAGAGAGTACTTCAACAGAGTCTGGATGGCCACCTGTCAGGAGGGCTTTGATTGTGTCTTCTTGCAAGGCAAGAAGGGGTTTGCACTGAATCATAGAGTTGGAAGAGACCTCATGGGCCATCCAGTCCAACCCCCTGCCAAGAAGCAGGAAAATTGCATTCAAAGCACCCCCAACAGATGGCCATCTAGCTTCTGTTTAAAAGCCTCCAAAGAAGGAGCCTCTACCACACTCCGGGGCAGAGAGTTCCACTGCTGAATGGTTCTCACAGTCAGGAAGTTCTTCCTCATGTTCAGATGGAATCTCCTTTCTTGTAGTTTGAAGCCATTGTTCCATTGCGTCCTAGTCTCCAGGGAAGCAGAAAACAAGTTTGCTCCCTCCTCCCTGTGACTTCCTCTCATATATTTGTGCATGGCTATCATATCTCCT